ATTGTGACCTATTGTGACACGTATTCCGCGCCAAAAATGACATCCGGGTACATTGTACTCAGACAGTGGCTTCAGAACACAACAAGTCAACTGAACACAACAACTAAACCGCTCGAGGGCAAGATAACCCGTGAAATACCAGCGGTTTTACAAGAGATCAGGCAGTGGAAATCATGCAGGTTCGAATCATGTTCTTGTTAACGCCTCACGATCCGTCACAAACTTTCACTCCTACCGTGATTCATAGTGTTTCTCCTTGGACAGAAAACCCAATAAGACGGTTGCAGGTTCCACTACCACGCAGCTAGAAGAACCATTGATGATCAGGGTAGGAAGCTGAGAAACTCCATCTGTTTGGCCGCAGCAATTAGTCTGCACTGTCTCACCCTTCTTTCAGTTGAGCAACGTGTTTGCCCACGTGACATCTCTTGTTACGTCTCCTCAGGTCTGTCTCTCTTTCCAGTTCTAAAGGACCTGTACGATCCTGTGCTAAGGCCGTGGTCTCAAAGGAATTGGTTAATTGGCCTAAACGCACGATCTAGGTGTCCTATCTGACAGGTAACATGTAGTCTAATTCACCAGCGGACGGTCGGTACTAATTGCGGCGAAACCGAATTCTACGAAATGCACCTGCGCTCCTTCAGTAGTCACAGTTGGGCAGTGAACAATATATCGAATTGGACGTGGGCAGACAGTATAGATAAGTAAATCGTGTCCATCTTCTCCTTGAACGCGTCTTCCTGAACTTTCCTGGATATTCATTGACTTGCGCTCAAATGCAAGCAAATGCGACCCCACAAATTCCGTAATAGATCTCACTTTTCCAGAGACGCGAAGCAGATTTACGACAAAACATATCACTCGCTTGCCCCCATCAGTAGTATTAATCGAAACACCAATATTGAACCCCGGGCCCTGGTCCGCTAGGTTAAATGACACTTCCGTCGTACTGAAACGGGCTGCGGTAGGCAAAGCGTGTAACCTATTCAGGAGTTTTAAGATGTTCAGCGTACAATTGAACTTGAAGAGAAAAAGTAACTACCATTCGTGTATGTACCTCCAAGCAGGATTACAAGTGAAGATTATCATCGGAGTTGGGGAGAGCGGCTTCAAGATAGAAGGACCGATTCAATGCGATTGAATGAGGCCGTATGGGATACATTAAGTACACTGTTTGGCACACTTGATGCAGACCGCCTGTACACATCAAAGAACACATAGAAGCTATCAGGTTTCATCATCCAGTTTTATCATTCCATGCGCTAGACACGGAAAAAGCCTGTGGGCCTTTGCGCTTGGAGCTACGAGTTAGGCACAAAGGTTTCTTTAATCTTGATACCCTACTACAAACCTAAGAGACCAGTACACAGCAATACACTCTGTCTACACACTTCTAAAATAGTCAACCTAACGGGATAACCCATGAGGAACGGATTGTTGGATTGACGAATCGAGTGGCAACCACGGCAACTATGAGACAACAGAAAAGACAATCACCGAGTATGAATCGGGGCGAACAAGTCAAAATTTTGTCTTGAGCAATCAAAGAACGAGACAATAAGCTAACTCAGAAGAATAATAGTCAATCATGTCAGAAGGTCAGCGGAGCTCGTTAAGACATGCACAAGCGCAAGTAGCATACTACTCAAAACGTTTAGACTGGCACACCACTGAGCAGTAACCCAGTGCCACGCACACACACACAGATAGCACCGCCACGTTTGGTCACCAAACTTTCGCAAGCCAGGTGAACGAACAGAAGAATAACCTGGGCAACTTGAGCTACCAAAACACCTCTCAGCATCAAACTCATGGAACCGTATAGTGTAAAACCATCTGAGTTATTTGCCACAATGACGGTAATTGCTGATTTTTGGTGATTGGAAACGGAAACCCAAATGAATCGACAAATCCTTCATCCATTGGAGTGAGCAGCAATATGTCTACAGCTTCTGCTGCAAGAATACGGACGATTAGTAACTGTTCTGTCAAGTTCTGTGCTTCTGTTCTGTTCTGTCATTGTTTAACGCGCGCCCAAAAGCTCGGATCTCCGCATGATCCACTCGAATCCCGGACCATGTCAGCGACGCTTGGCCAAACGGTTCTTCATTAAATTTTCGTAATGCACTACTCGTAAGGTTGCTAAAAATCCTCGACAGCCCACGACCGGTTTTACCCTTCTTGGGGCTCATCGGGTAGGCGCAGACCCCGGGTTTCCGTCAATCTTGAAAACAAATTGCACGAAATTAGCGAATATACACTCATTTGTAAACTAATTTGTTTTTTTTTCGAGAGACTCACCCGGAAATATAAAAAGCATGCACCTTATTGATTTATTAATTCATAATTTATTGTGTGGAATTCGGGATGAATAGGAATGACTACAGGACTGGCACTTATGCATTCTGGCGCCCATCAAAAAGGTATGATAAGTGATGAAGCACAGGTCCCGTGTACATGACACAGAAAAACCTTAACCAAGTTACTGCTTAAGAGATGTTCATCGGAACGGGGAGCATTTCATATGTGAGCGATTCACGAAGAACCCGTCGAGGAATCAGTCAATCGAATTTTCATCATGTGAAGCTCCACCCAAAATTACCATGAATAGCAGCAGTCCACTAATCACAGGAACCACATCAAGTGCTCGCTTATTGATTAGCTCTTCAAATACCGATTCATCAGAAGTGAGATTCACTCATATTTTGAAATTGTCGTTCCTTTGAACTACTTATCGATTGATGATGTGATATGGCTTCCTTATTTGAGGGTTGAGTGGCACTACATACCCTCTAGGTGCTGATCAGCCTTTCGTTGCCGGACGATTAGGTATTCAAACTACCAGCCGCAATGTCACGGGTTAGAAGTTCTTTAAGTTTTATGAAAGGCGTATTGCTGATCATTTCCAGCATAGACTGACCACACATGATCTTAGTGAAATCCTAATCGGAAATTACCGACTTTCGAACTACTCCCAGTTGATAAGTAGTCAAGAAAAAAATAGTTTCCTTACCCCAGTGAAAACAAAGTGGCATGGGAAGTAGGCTTTGTGACAGTTAAGCTGGTGGGTTGTGTACAGCAGATCAGACAAAGAGCAGGACGGGGTGGGTATTGGGTGGAATACTGTAGAAGCTGGCTGCGCTAACTAAACCAAGAAGTGGATGTGTATACAACAAAGTAATGCATGTTCATCTGTGGTTGGGACAATTTTGTGAAAAGACGCAACCGTGGGAGAGATGAATAGTCTGCACGATCCATTTGGCTCAGCGGTAATCATGGATAGACATGAACAGACATCTGCTAGACAGCAGACGTCGAAACCTTTTCATAAAAAAGCCAGGAGCATTCTGGGAGCCCCGTCTTGAGACGTGAAGCAACAGCACTCGAACCGTTCATCCTCCAAAAATGAACAACAGTACAAACGAAAGCACAAATTCCTTGGATTGGACACAAACCCAAAGCTACCCGAGCAAGTGCTCTGCCAGTAAAACTACCAGTGACGTGGCCCTGGGTTTTTGACAGTCAGCCTGACGTTTATATCATCTGGATCCTCGAAGGGTATCGATTCAAACTTGGACGTGAGAGACAGGGTTCTAGGAAGTCCTGGATATGGACAGACTAAAAAACACAACACCGCATGGAGTCACCGCGCAGCGTAGTCCATCCTGAAGCTGGAACGGAAACCACCACTGGACTCAGTAGATTATGACTGAGCATGTGGAGCAAAATACGTCCAGAACTCAACCTGTAGGACTAGAAGTTTGTTCAGCGGAATATGTATGGCACACGACACTGTGTTATCTGTGTTACTTGAACGTCACAAGACTTAATGGATCAGCAGATAACTCGATCGCGTCATATATAATCGACCTGGGTCAAGTGATCAATCCAAATGAGTTGCTTCATGCTGTCTATCAAGTACCTAATGAAGAACTTCCAGAATCGATCCAACCACGCTGCTGGGCTACAGCGGAAGCGTTTGCAACGCTGCTGTGATATCTAGTTCTAGGCTGGCAAGAACGATTCCTACGAGCTCTGAATCTGACTTCGTCATGTGACACGAGTCGACCGATGCAATGGCTCGAAGACTCTCGACTAACACACAGAGTTGACAACCAACCGACCGTGTTCCCCTGCTTTCTAACTTAGTAACCAACTTTGTTGCTTATTTCATAGCATGCCCCTATTTTAAGCATAAGATATGCACTGGCCTGACGATCAGAGTCCGAAGGCATTAGTGTTTTGATACCCTGCGAATATTCAGACAAGCACCTTAGTTGCCCACCGTTAACTGCCCTTCGTCATCAATAACAATGGTGGGTTAATAAGAAAGAATCAGTTTATCTTCAATGACTGTATGAATCTGAACAGCGCGTTGTATAATGCATGCAGCCTCCCTTATGGTCATATCCTAGACAGCCTGTTGCGATCATTCTTGCCAAGTGGATTATTGCATTGCGTCAACGATGCCAATCGATTATCGATTGATTATTGTTCACCAGTCAAGCTAATCTTATGTGAGTAAATTCACTCGTGGAATACCATTAAATTTCACATCGGCGTTAAAGAAAAACTGATAGAGTAGAGTTCCGGAAGTTCTGCAGGTATAATTTGAAATGCGTAGACTCAAAACTGAAGAGGATGATCAAATTGCGGGCATATAAATACCGACTGTTGGATTCAATCGGTAGAGTGATCGAGTTTAACAGAGCATTTGCCTAAGTTCCCGGTAGATTTAAAACTGACTCAGATCAATTAATCCACTGTCTCACAGGTAGAGGATATACCCCATTCAACATAAGCTGACATAAAGCACGTTAGTCATGTGTACATCCATCGTGTGGCCATGAAAGTTTCGGCGATAAAGAGTACTACATTATCCGACGTTGTTATCAAAGACCAGTCCAGAGAGAGTTCAGCATTAGTTGATATTTTGAGGCTAAATAAACTACAAGTAGTCTCATCACGATAAATACATCTCTGTCGTTTGATGCAGATAGTTATGAAGGGTCCTCAGGAATGTGCTGCAGACTACTGAGGCGCATGGTGACGGAACTTTTGATCAAATTTCTATAGGCATTCAGACGGTGATTAGGTGCATAGCGTGTGTCCGGGCTGCAGGGATTGTAGTCCTTTCTCAGGCAGACGCGGTAGTGGAAAATCACAGCGAGGTCTTGGCTAATGCGGTAGTGTGATGGCTTCTTGGGCCAATGGACATACACTTCCTCCACATCGCCCGGACGAACCAGACACTTTTTACGTTCAGGATATGTTTCGATCGTTGAGTTGATTCGATCAAATATCGATTTTTCCGGGAATTTATTTTCCATAGGAGGCGGAAAGTAATAACTGGGGAAACAAATAGTTGGAGTATCTCTGTACCAAGAACTGTTTTGAGCCTTATCGATCACATCGTTCCATGTGGGAAGCGCTCCATACCTCGCTGGAAGACTTTGATCTGGTACCAACACCTCATCGAAGTCTCCGAAAAATATATGTTGCGTTTCGTTCCCGATTCGATGCAGACAGTCGTTAAAACTGAGCACTTGGTCAAAATACCAAGTTGTACTGAATGCATTCTCTATCGGAAGCACCCAATTGACTAGTTTAAGCTCAAACATTTGGTTACTGGCAACGCCAAATGAATTTTCCCGGCTGGTGTAAGAACTGAGTACTTGTTTCACTCTGGGATGAGGGTTTTCTGTCAGGTAGATCACCATCTGGGTCACTCCCATCTCGCGCTGCATTTCAATATATTCAACAATGAATCTTGGATCAAAAGTCTCCGTTTTAAACCAAGGAGTCATACACATACTAATCCGATGTTTGGTCTGAGCATGAGAATTTGCGCTAATTCGACCAGTTTGTACGGGTAGTTGAACAGTCCTAGATCCTGGTTCAATATGCAGCAAAATGAATAATCGATTGCGGTCACCCACATGCTGAATGTCATTTGCGATGGGACAATAAGCCGTGTAACCACGGTACTTCCCTTTGTATTCTTCAAGCGCATCAAAGTGGAAAGGGTAACCGCTCCTCGAACAAAGTCTCCTCCGACCTGTCGATGTAAGGCGTAGTCCACCTTGCAAACTACTGAAGAAGTGGCAGTAGATGTCTGGATGAGCTGCGATGTGCTTGAGAAAAAATACTCGGACCATTTTCCCTCCCGGTTCGTAATATGCAGAGACTGGAAATACGTTCCCTGGTGTGGAAGTGTCAGACAGTGATGATGATCCGTTCCTACGGTTGACCAACCAGAAAAGCAAGTAGATTGAGGCCAAAAACGATGGCACTAAGCGATATCTCATTGATGCTAGAACAAGCTGGACTCCGATGCATGTAGCCTGTAGGCAACTTGTCCTGTAGAAATCGGAGGGCACCTATGTCAAGTTAACCTTATGCAAACTGTGACGAATCCGATTGGTCTGTTCATTGATTTCTGTGATTGGTGGAATACGACCGTTGAAACCAACGCTGCACCAGCTTTGTGTATTTCACATACTGCCTTGTCACCGTGTAACGGCGGAATTACTAGTACTAGTCGTTTTGACAACACCCTTTTTCACCATCGTTATGAAGATTTTGACTGTATTATTCATCAGGAAACCGCTACCCCTTCGGATACGCTATTCAGTGCCGAAACAGAGAGATACCGTCATTCTGTGCGTGTTTTCACGTCAGTTGCTATTTTAGGTAGGTTCTTATACCACATCATTGATGATGTGACCTTGACTGAGAGCCGGCTGAGGGATGCCATCTTTCTCACCTTACGGATACAGTGGTGTTTAGCCTTATTTGCACCATTTTACCTGTTGGAACATGCAGTTCGACTCCGACCGACAACATCATCAGCGAGGGTATCAGCAGCAGTTTCAGCACCATTCTTATTAATATAAACATCCTATTCGTCATAAACAACAATCTACAAAGTTTACCTATCTTGGAAGACTTAAGGCCAATGGTAAAAAGTAGACAGTGAAGGAATATGATATTAGCCATTCCCAATCGGTGTGGCTTGCCCGCGCCTTCAAGCACTAAAATCAAACAATCTAGACAGAAAGGGCGGTAAGAATGTCGTCAACATCGGGTATCTGCCATATCTTCCAAGCCCCAAGATGGTCCTTGCGCCCCCACCCCTGGAGGTGAACCTCATATACAGTGTGTTTTGAATCCCTCTTCAAAGCCACATACTCTGCACACCGTTGGCTACTGAAGGCGGCTACTGGACGGAGCTTTCTGGGTTCAAGAAGTTGGTTTCGATGAGTCGGAGTTGACTGCCTCCGCTGCTGCATTCAAATACGCAGAATATTTCGCTTAAGGTAGTGCAAGGATGGAAACTTTGACAATCCTGGTGCTGCTGCGTGTAGATTGAGCAATGACAATGAAGTTGGGATAAAAAAACGCATGTGAAAATGTAAGAACCGTGGTTAGATTCGGCTAATACGGACGAATTCTGAAAGAGCTGATCAGGAGACGGGTTTTGGATAAAGCAGACAATATTCCGCTCAAAGAATGCATCCAGTATTGCATTCTAAGATGACTGGACCATGTGCTACGTACCACCTGCTTAGATGAGTAATGAGATTCGTGCCCGATTCGAAGCGCCGCAAACGTGGAAGCGAACTGAATTTGACATAACCGAAGGGAATGAAGGGTGTTGCGATGATTTTAGTCACGATCGGTGCTGTTCGTCTCCCAGAATGGGGTCCACGTGACCCCACCCTGTGCTTGGTTGGAGACAATAAATAATATAGTGGCTAACCGGTGTCAGTGGAGTCCATACTGTCAATTTTTATCCAAATTCTATGACTGAGTGTTGAAGATATAGGCACCTTGGATGTATATTGTCGGTTAGCAATAGGTCCTTCTCCCTCACCTTCCTCATTTCCCTTATAAGGCTAAATACAAGCATATTGAAGTAAATTACCCGTGATCCCATCCGATGTTGCTTCCCAGGTGATGATGACGATGGTGCTGAATTGAGCTGTCGAATATAGCACACGACGTAACACGTAATGTTACGTAACCGAATAATGCTTCGAAAGTCGAAAAGATACCAGTGTGATTAGAAGCACAATATCGATCGTCTCGTTCTAAATCAGATAAGCATGGGAATACCTTTACAACAACACTTGGACAATAAAAGTGAGGAACTGGGGCTTCAAAAAGGCATCAAAATATTACATTGAAAGAATTTTCATGCCGTACAGTTGCTTTCAAATTGACTAGCATGCCAGTACGAACACTTGACGTCTTATGTCTGTTTTTCCAACCTGCCTTCCCGGTTCTCGACAAATTTCTTGACGTTTGAAACTTGAAACCCACCCATATGGCTTATCGATAAATAAACGGTGTGAAATGTGATTGACTTGTCACGTGACAGGAGACACCTAACGCAATCATCCGGATGGCTGTCTAGGTCAGCGGACAATCAGACAGCTTTTGGGCGACAGGGATAAGAACGTTTTTGTAAAGGCATTCTCACTCTTCACCCAATGGAGAAAAGCATTGGGTTAGCGATTGGTTTCCAAGGTAACAGTGGTCCATAGACTGGTGGATGATTACTTCATACAGGACAATATCAGTCACGGACGATCGATAATTTCAAATTGAAATGCAAGGTTAATCTGTAGCTAAAAATGAATTCATGAAAATATTGGTTTGTAAGGATGTTAATGGTGGGTAAGACACTACCTAGCCTTCCATGGAATTCTCTCCACTGTTCCCATCAAAGCTTTTCTGTCTATATGATTTGAATTCAAAGCCAGTAGAATTTCGAATTTTCGGGGCCAAATGAGTCATGCAAAAAAAGATACCCAATTACGTACACACACGAAGAACTTGATGATCTGAAGTTTCTGATTTGAAACCTTTGTACCAGTCCTCGCTAATGCTAATGCAGGATTACTTCTGCTAACTGAATAACAACAGCAGATATTCATACTATCGATTTGCTCCGTCAGAGGCATCAGTGGAGAAAACAGTGTTACGATCTGTCTGATTCATATCGAATGAGGTCATCCAAATGAGTCCACTGTCCTTTGTGGAGTGCGATTTCGCTCACCGCTCTCTTCATGAACCTGAGTTTTGGCACAGGGTATAGATGCGACAACACAGCAAGATCTTCACTGATTTGTCAGACAATCTTGTAGCAACACCGATCAAACAAGCGCGTACCTAATCGTCGAGTCATTTGTGCAATTCAATGAATCTGATCAAGTGCGCTATCGTCTCCGCATCACCCATAATGAAACGATTTTGCAGCTTAATGCAGCAACAATTTGGTCGACGTTGGACTGGTTTATACCGATACACAAGGCAGCTGAACTCTTTAACCAGTTGTCGGGATCTGATACACCACTGTTTTCAGCTTCCTCTCAAACAGAATTATGCGCGAATAGGTCGAAAACAACTCCTGATTCTCATGGGAATCATAAGCACAACGTGGTTGTGTTGGATCATGTTCAATAGGAATCGGGAATATCAAGCCTCACCTCTGCCGCGACTTCCAGACTTGACATTTGCCACTATTGACGAGGAGAACGAAACGTTTGCCGTGTCCGCTTACCTGGAGGAATACAGCCGAAAAGTCCGTGTGTTTGCACTGAAAAAGGACACCGCCGCTCCACTTGTGTATTGTTTCTATTGGGGGAATACTTTTGAAAACTATGGGAAGCCTGTTTGGAATTCGGCTGAGGTATTTGCTTTCGAACGACTGAAGTATGCGTTTCGACAGCTTGGAGCGATTCAACCGACAGAGTCTTACGGTGCCTATGTAACTTTTTGTCGTGTTCCATCGGGCATGATGGGACAAATAGTGGATGGAAAGGTGGGGATCGCGCTGCATGTGGGGACGGCCTCATACAAACCACCTGTTGTACTACAAATCCACCCTGGTCAAGTGGTCGAGAAGAAGGATGCGACCTTGGACCCCACCTACCGCAAATGGAAACCTCCCAGAAAAGTTGGACTTTGTGTTGCTCCAATTTACGATCTGGGAGTCACTGTTACAACCTCCTATCTTGTGAGCTACATTGAACTCTACCGTGTGACCGGAGTGAGTCTAATGGTGTTCTACATCGTACCCGAGGTTATAAAATATGTTCAACCCATACTGGATAGTTATGCAAACAAACTTCTGTTTGAAAACGGTGATAAGTTTGAACTATTAGTTCTTACCTGGCAGCCACCGTTAAATGAAATCGATTCACAACTGGAAGAAAGTGATGAAATATTAGGCTACAATGATTGTATTTATCGCATTTCGCGGGAAGTTGAGTACATTTTGCACGCAAACCTTAAGGAGATTGTCCTTCCAAAACAAAATCCGAACAGTATTCGCCTGACCGAGTGGTCCAATGTGATTCGAGTGCTACGCGATGTCAACTATGCAAAGCGTCCAACCACGTGCTTTCCAGCACGTTATTTCCCACCTATCAGAAGGCACTTGAAAACTACCGAATCGATATTCGAACGTGTCTGGGCTACTCGGAATCTGAGTGGAAATCTAAGTCGATGTATAACACATTCGGGGGAAGTGTTTGATGTTGACATTCACGCACCCATCACACCACCGAGATTGAACAATGGAACGGATTTGGCGACTGTATTGATTTTTGACAACTGTGATGCTGATGAAATCACCACATGTACTGCAGAGAATGCCCTGGTCATAAACGAAGAACTAACACCATATTTGAGCAAAATTCAACCATCGATCGAACGCCGAATGGCTCAGCTGGAATCGCAGTTCAAATAAACTATCCTGGACCGAATACAAACGTTCAGATATACTGTTTGCTCCCTGACAGTGACAAATAGCACGTATTATCTGGATTTTGTATTGAATACCTTTCTATTTGCTCATAGCAACCAGCGTTGTGAAAAGAATACGCCCGCTTGAGCAAATAATAAATGCGAACTGAACTTTGGTCACCCCGATCGCTGGTAGTAGGAGCAAAGCACGCGTCCAGCTAAGATCATGACGGAGACACATGCGTTAACTTTTTAAAGTTGAGTTTTATTGATCCATCAATCTTTTCATGGTTATCCTTGATACAAATTCATTCCCAGCGTAGGTTGGCGATGGGTTAAATTGTCCGGGCAATTTTGTTTAAATTGATGAGGGTTAGTTACAGCTGTACTGTCCATAATAACACTGAATTATGGGATATTTGAAGGGATTGAAAAGGAAAGTCCACTGAATAATGTCAACAACTGTTTTCTTCTTTGAGGTCATGATGCACTTATAAGCTATGAACTGTAAGATCGGCATATAAAGAAGAGAAAGAAGACGAAACAATGAGCGAATTTCCGGTTTGAGTAGTGCTCACCACTATCACTTTCGACCCACTTGGAGGCCTTCAGGTAGTACCCTAGTCACCTAAATTCCGTCGCATTTGCTCCGTATTTGAACACAAAATTGCATTCTGTGTGGATGGGATACTCGTTTATATTATTCAACACTGTACAACAGAGTCCTTGTGGATAAGTGTGGTTCTCAGTGCCAGTCGGATGTCTGAGGCTTGTTTACTGTAGGTCGGATCGACGCAATGAAAGGGTAGGTTAATCAGAAAGGCTCCGGCTTTTGGGCACTGCTGATATGGGTTCCGTTGCACTCAACTGACGCGAGTACTTTCAAAATCGAACCGATATCCTCTTGGTGAATACACTTCCACCTTATGCCTACAAAATGTTTTGAGCGTTTCGAGAAAAAGGCACGTATTTTCAAGATGCCTTTCTCGTCTTTGAAGGCAAAGTATATGATCTCTGAACACAAGCAAACCAGACAATGCGGAGGGATAAATTCTGGTACAAGTATTCCGTGAGAGGAATCTTCAGACCAACCAAAAGTGTGACCCACGTTAATCGTGGCGCGCTTACTGGCTGAAGCCAACACACTGTAATGCGGATGGAGACCGACGCCGGAGGTCGGCGAACGATATTTGTTCAGAAAGAATAGTGAAGTGATGATTTTATCAAAACCAACCCGGAATCCAGCAACCAAAGACGAGAAAAAGTGTCATAGGAGAATTTCCACGCTATCCAATTCATATAAAATATTTAAATCTTAGTGAGACACATGTCTGCAACAAAGGTTATATTTGAGACATGGGCTACTTCGAGGTTCCTCTGATAAGGTTTCTTTCGTCACTGAATTGTGTAGTTGGGGGAGAGGTTTGCACGGAACACGGGCGTGGGCTATCTGCCGATTTTGAGCAATTATCCCAAGTTGCTCAGTTCAGAGACGCAAGAGACTACATTGCACATTTCATTAGCGGAGTCTACAGTTTGCGCGTTTGCCAAACATTTCATGACAAAGAGTACCACTATGCTATTGGCCAAGAAGTGCCCCATCGACCATTCAGCTCTGGACGTTCACCATGCATCAACCTAAAAGTAAAAATTCAACCAAATTATCGTTCAAACTCAGGACTGATTACCTTAGGTTCCAGGGTTTGAGCTCGCCGAAAGAGCCCTAAATTTGGTAGTCTGCGATTTTGAGGGGATTTTTAGCAACTATTCCATAACACTTAATCCAGTGGCTCCTTGTTTGCATATGTGCAATTGTTAAAAACCATCTACTTATATTGGTCGCAGTAGTGCGATTTTGATGCATATATTAGGGCTGCTCCAGTAGTCTTTAAATGTTTGCAATGTACTACTCATAAGGTTCCTGAAAATCCATCGACAGCCACGACCGGTTTCGCCCTTCTTTGGGCTCATCAGGTAGTCGAAGTCCCCGGGTTTCCGTCAACCTTATGTTCTACTTGAAAGCAAATTGCACGAAATTAGCTAATATACACTCATCTGCAAACTAATTTGGTTCTTTCGAGAGACTCACCAGGAACCCAGTTGAATCTCTCGTTTATGATGTTCTCAGGCAATTGAATGTGCTGCACCAGGCCGCCTCATGTTTCATTCGCTACGATATTTGAAATGTCGCGATACACGTATATCTTTGTAATGTACTACTCATATGGTTGCTGAAAATCCATCGAGAGTTGCCTGAGAACATCATAAACGAGAGATTCAGCTGGGTTCCAGGTGGGTCTCTCGAAAGAACCAAATGAGTTTGCAGATGAGTGTATATTCGCTAGTCTTGAAATAGTGTTCGATTATTTAAGTTACGTCGTTGGGTTCGGATGAAGTGACGTTTTGAACATTGCCTTCCTTTGAAGAACTTGAAGCAAGTTAGCTATCACAAGGCACAGTGAGTGAATCTCTCCGAGTTACCAAACTGTTCAACTATTTCTTTTTCCCCACAGCTTCCAAGTTCACACAGAATAAACCTAACATCTTGAGGAGCCCACCCGGTTCCATCTTAGCACGAGCGTACTGAACCAGAAATTCTCGAACTAAATTACATAAAACATATATGGATGTTATCTTACCGACTGCAGTCAGTGGGAGAAAATGTGGACCTCTTGCAGGTACCGATTATCGAAACATGAAGTGTACAACTGAGCGCCGGAAAAATGACGTGTTTGTTTTTCTAGATATCTAGCTGACTCGCAAAGGCAATGGAACACTTCATAGCTCAGTTCATTGGAGCTCATCTCACTCAACCAGTATCCCTATCTTTCAAGTTTTGTTCCAACGCGCTCAAAAATAGGCTTAGTTAGAAAGTTATATGACAAAATTGCTCGAAGGATGACATCAGCGCAGAAGCTAACCATGTGGAACCGATATTGGTTTCTAATGGATCCTTTTTGAATCTGTAAGAAGTTTCACCGCAAAGGTCCAAAAGCAGAACTATTAATATCAGAATAGATGACATTGGTGAACGGATAGGAAATATTTAATCCCAGCTGTTAAACGAATCAACCACGCTGCCGAACCAGCAATTATCCAAATTTGAACCAGGATACCGACCCCTGTAATGAAAGTTCCACTACCTCAGTACACCAATTCCAGCCTCGTTTATCGCTTTACGCATGCATACTCAGTCAATTAAGTAGGCCTATCCCAGAGACAAGTTTGAGTTAAGCTGGTAGGCCACATCCAAGTTGGCTGACATAAACGTAGGACTCCATCTACAGCATTCCTAACAACTTTTATTTTCGGAGCCAACCGCACGATCAATTATAGGCTAAAATACAGTCCGTAATTCATTTGCAACCGGGTCCTGTTTTAGCACACATAAGTTTTTAAAATCGTCTGCAAAACAGCGAATGGTAATGCATGACAGCTCGCTAAAATCCATTTATTTCAGAGGATGGAAACCGGATGGATTGATCGTCGGCACTTCATTGGCAACACCGCTAGTGTGGTTCATTTGTTTTTCTCAGGTGTGCACCTGAAGGGATCCAGTGAAGAACATGAGTTGTATTGTGCAACAGTTCAAGTCTCTGCACTTTTTTCGGTTGTAACCGGGTTCTCACCTGTATTTTCCCGTTCAGTCCAGTACGCTGAGACCAGTGTAACTAGGGTTGGCCTGATTTGAATAGGTTAGTTAGTATAGCCTTGAAAGGGGGTTACTCGGAATGTGTAATTCAGATGATGCAATTTAATCCAGTACGCAGTCTCAGTGATATGGTTTTGTGCGAATAACGTATCTGTGGACTGACACTCAACAAGATGAGGGAGGGATTAACTGATAGCCGGAAGAAGCAGGCGTCACGACAACGGGACAGTGTTTACTGGCTGTGGACATGTTAATATTTGCTGGGAGCTACATTGGACCATCTAGGTGAGTCCGGTAGAGCACATACCACATACTGCTGTTACAGTGACCAATGGAAAATCAGGAAAGACGATTTGTTCTCAGAACCCGGACGCTGCTACCAGTCGATATATTCAGTTAACCTAGCATCGGGAGCCATCCGGCCAGATCCGGTTTCTGTAGCTCCTTGCTTACCTGCAGGTCGATCAAATTGTGGCCCTTATATGCGTTTCGTGGCGTGTGCTTCTTATCAGCCAGTGAAATAGCGTGAAATTTTTCAGTCCTTATCTTGAGTTCAGCTTCAAGTCACCTGCGTTTATTCCGTAAGAAAACAGTCATATTCCGTCCAATGCATACCGTTTTCTTACTCTCTGCATGCTTGACGAATTTGACACATCTGTGCAAATTTCTCTGGCAAAAAGCTAGAATTCTGATCTATCTCCTTACACCTTTAAGCCCATCCGAACACTGCGTCTTATTCCTTTGATATCCCAGCCAAGATGGTCAGAAGCTTTAATTATTCTTCTTGTTCGTTCGAAGGCAGTGTGAGAACTAATCTTTTTCGTGGGGAGGGGGTTTGCGGGATAGTTAACATGGCCATAGTCACACCGCACTCGTCTGAACTGTTGTCCTCCTGTTCTGATGTAATTATCCCGGTGAGCCCACACCAAAGGGAAGCACTGGACGGACATCTGACATGCAAGGCGAGCGTGTAACCAACACTCCACCGACGGATGTTGGACGCATCCGAATTTTCACGTCTGATTGGTGTGCCCGACCCATCGAACGACGACTCAGTAACCTTCCAGGTTGTGACGATCGATTGGCCTGTCAGTCAGGACTTCCCAGTCAGGTAGCGTGACACGCTCTCAACCGTCCTAAGAGCGTAAGTCACGTGAATCGTCGCGATGACTCAGAGCGAGCATAAGTATTAGATCGAGCAGTGGCTGACTCACACAACCTAGATTGGTGAACATCTCGTTCTTCTGGGAACGAGTTCTGGCTAATAATACAATCTGCCAGTGTGTTCCGCCAATACAAGTAGCTCCGTCCTTCATTCACGCTTGAAGAATTTGGAAAAACGGTATGGCTGCGATCGCTCAGTAAGTGAAGTCAGTTTGTGCCAAGAAGCCGAGAAACAGTGTACAGCTGTTTCATACTTATTTAAAATCCCCAACTGCGAACATCATCGGAATCTCGAAGGAGATTCAAACTCACCAATTCTCGGATAGTAGACGAGCTACGAGCGAGTGATTAATTTGCACTTGACCACTCATCGTTCAATCATGGAATCCACATCACGTGGTCACGTGTTGACTTGGTCCTCGAAAGGCAACTTCTCAGATGGGAAGTCTCCTCTTCGTAGGATTTATCCCAAAGCTTTTCATTGTGCCATCATTTTAGCATCTTACAGAACGAGTGGAGATGTCAGGCTATACGCAGTTTGTATTCAGTAAGCAGTGAGAACAGGGTGATAAGGGCAGTAGATGCTGTATTGAGAACTGGTTCTACGGCCAAATTGGTTAATAAGCATTGTGTAGTAAGCGGAACTTACAGTCAACGGTGGCACAATGAGTAGGGACAGGAGAAAGGGTGGTGAAGCCGCCGGGCCTTGGATACCGAAAGGGAAGCCGAGATGTACAGCTGTTTCATACTTATTTAAAATCCCCAACTGCGAACATCATCGGAATCTCGAAGGAGATTCAAACTCACCAATTCTCGGATAGTAGACGAGCTACGAGCGAGTGATTAATTTGCACTTGACCACTCATCGTTCAATCATGGAATCCACATCACGTGGTCACGTGTTGACTTGGTCCTCGAAAGGCAACTTCTCAGATGGGAAGTCTCCTCTTCGTAGGATTTATCCCAAAGCTTTTCATTGTGCCATCATTTTAGCATCTTACAGAACGAGTGGAGATGTCAGGCTATACGCAGTTTGTATTCAGTAAGCAGTGAGAACAGGGTGATAAGGGCAGTAGATGCTGTATTGAGAACTGGTTCTACGGCCAAATTGGTTAATAAGCATTGTGTAGTAAGCGGAACTTACAGTCAACGGTGGCACAATGAGTAGGGACAGGAGAAAGGGTGGTGAAGCCGCCGGGCCTTGGATACCGAAAGGCAGACCACGTAAATAGGCCGTACGCGGAGATAACGCCGCAGAAGACACTCAGTAGGTAGGTAACGGAAACTGTCTGGGTGACGTTGACATAAATTAAGTATACTTGCAGTCTTCGGTTGATATAGTTACGAAACCGGACGTGCAACATGTCAAATCGAAATGCGCGCTTATGCCCCTATAAAACAAAATGCAGCGGGCTCTGTCAGGTGAGATACAACACAAAAACTAATAGAAAAATGGGGCTTCCGGGGATGTCGAGTTGTCACAGGAAGTACCACATTCATGCGCTATCCGAGGGGTTCCCTGTTTGGCTCCCGGGTGACCTGCCCTTCCGTCGAAACAGACACTGCAATATAGGTGTAGTTGACGTGAACTTGTTAGAGAATATGGAGAGACCACAAAATATTGACATTGGTAACTAGAGAGATAAAAGATAGAGAAGCGAAAAGACGTTGAGACAAAAGCGTGCACGTCACGCTACTCATGAGTAGTCAAGTAATTGGGGTAAGTGATAGCCTATTGCCGCTGTGACCTAGCAGGAACCAACACCCATTTTATTGGACTATCAGGGAATTACGCTATAGTGGAAGCACTTTGCTTATTAGACCACATCAGCGGTTGTGAGACTTCGAGGTGATTCCAGACCAATTCTAGTTACGGCTCGTATGTCTAAGTTCATTGATTTCATAAGAAGCTTCTTCTTTACCGAGAGGAATGGTTTCTGGACAATGAAGGCTGTCTCCTCTCCGTCTGCTGTGACCGTGCAGCGAGATCCAGACCTTCGTCTTGATTAAACGGCTGAGAAGCCCTCCGGATGTCACAGTAAACTAAAAAAATATTCTATCGTAAAAGCCTGCCAACATAAATTTACCCAGATTTCCGTTCGTCTATTCAGTGTTGACCTAAGTATTAGTTCCAACTCTTATGCAGTGAATTTATCGAACTGGTTACGATAAATCGATCGCCTTTCCACCATTTGACTAGAACTCACCGTACTTCGGAAATATAACTGTTTTTTCTCGGAAAACAAGCGCATTGGCTACTGATAACGTGTCGTTATTTATTGTCACCGAGCTGCTAGCTTCAATTAGATAAAACAGTCAAGTCGCTGGAATTTCTTCATCGGTCACAGGAACTCTTGCAGGCTGAAATCTTGCATTATATTTCAAAGTGAGCGCGCAGTTGGAAAATATGGACTTGGGATAATTTTGGCTATCATCGTGCAGCCCCACCCTAGATGTGAGAGTTCATCTATGAAGGGGAATGGCTACTCTTCGATCGCACAAGACGAATTGGCCCCACCGGAGCCTAACTACCTTATATCGCCAACGTGCTGAGAGGCAAAGAATATCAGGAAGTTGGCGAACTTCACTCATCTGCAAACTATTTTGGTTTTTCGAGAGACTCACCTGGAACCCAGCTGAATCTCTCGTCTGTGAAGTTTCCAGGCAACTGAATGTGCCGCATTAGGCCGCCTCATGTTTCAGTCACTACGATATTCGAGATATCGCGATACATGCATATTTGTAGTGCACTACTCATGAAGTTGCTGAAAATTCGTCGACAGTCCACGACCGGTTTCGACCTTTTTGGCGCTCGTCAGATAGGCGCAGTCCCCGAGGTACGAAATTAGCGAAATACACTCATCTGCAAACTAATTTGGTCTTTCGAGAGACTCACCTGGAACCTGATCTTTCCAGCCGTAACTCGTTCCCACACAGATAAATGTCGTCAACCAGTTACGTGTGTAGAAAAGATCTGGCAATTTGACCAGCAGTTGGTTGTCCAATCATCCCCTACCAATAGGGAACTCTCCAGCGCAATATAATGGACACATGGTGCAACAAACAATCCGTCGAATCAATACGGCGGTAGAAAAGAAATTGATTTTTATGAGTCCAGCCTCTAAAGATGGCGTACTGGCAGATATGATCAACTGTCAAATTTTTCCATCTTTGCAGCTGTGCCGTCGTGATACGCTAACATTAGAATGCTGCATAAAAAGTTGAGGGATAGGATGCCTGGTCATAAACACAGGTTTTTTTGTACCACTCTACTCATATGGTTGTCGGAAACTCTTCGACAACCCATGACCAGCTTCAACCTTCATCATTCAGCTAGAATTCAGCCCTATGAAGGGTGTGGGGCACATTGAGTTGAAGAACGTCGTCAACGAAAGATCCAACTGGATGCACTTGAGTCTCCTGTGGAACGCATTTGGAACACAAAAGTTAGTCTATTCGTTTTTGTACACATTTTTGCTCTTGAACGGTGGGCAGTTTGAGAAAATTGTACGAGACCAAGTCGCTTCTTGCTGCGTTCCCACGGAGTTGCCACACCAATTTAGAAAAGTAAAGTTGTCTCGACGCTGAACAGGTTAATCCCATCCATGAGTTTCGCATCTGCTACTGGATTTCGGAGTCGACCTCCTCAAGGTTTAGCTTAGTAACGGTCAAATTCGATTAAATGCGCCTACCTAGTACAGATTTGTGTCGCCAGATAGACTTTATTCGAATGTCCAGCACACTTTGACCGTGTGACACGAAACCTGATGTGAAAACACACGAACGGTCACACGGATGTTACGAAGTCCAATAAGCTAGTTCGACTGGTCGTCCACAAATTGTGCCTGGCGGACTGGGTGAATCACAACTCGGTTTTTAAATTTGCCGCTTAATTCTTACCGTTTTTATTCTGCGTAACCATTAGGGGAAGTACTGACCTGAGGACATTCCGAAGATACTTAGTCCCTTAGTTTCACATCACTCTCGTTTTGAACAGTTTTCCTCCTGTCCTGGTGCAGTTATTTTGGTGAATCCACACCAACGGGGAGGGGGGGGAGGAAGCACTGAACTCGAGTCCCGCTCATCAGCAGTGCATGTCCAATGACTGTGCCGGGGTTCGATCTCCGGGCGCCTGACATGAAAGGCGAACGTGTCTCCACTATTCCACTAGCGCACGTTGGACGCATCCGACTTCTCATATCTGAAAGGGCGGACGTGTTCTCACTTGAGTGATGTGATTAGTATGCCCGGCACACCATCGATACGACGACCCAGTAACTGTCCTGGTTGTGACGATCGATTGGCCCGCTTGTCAGGACTTCCCAGTCAGGTAGCACCACAGACGCTTTCCAGGTGATCGACACATCTGACAACATATTTCTCACCGTGTGGCGGTGTCTTACGCACAGAATTGTTTGGTGAAGTTCGAACCAAATCACTTCGGCGCGAATTCTGAGAAATCATTTAAATGTCACCGAAGAAAATGTGGTCGTATGCTTTGAGAAAGTCCACAAAAAAACACACGCCGTAGAAGCTAAATAGCTGCGTCCGATCAAATCGCAGTTTCATTCTGAAGCAGTGGAGCAGCCGTAGTTCATTTCGATCCAATCATGGATTGATCCGTGTTGTGTGAACAACACGCTGAGGCTTGACTGAAAGCGAGAAGCGTACTGGAAATCCTTTCGTATCACGCGGGAAGTATGCCAACAGAAGGAAAGTCGCCCAATTCATGCAATGCGTACATCTCACTTTTATCATTGTACTAGTTGTTGACTCCGCAGGACACGATAAAACGCAAAGTATTCAAGGTGTATCCTTCATTCATGTTGGTTGATCCAGCGCCCGTTGAACTGGTCGCTGAGCTTACAAACGTCTCGTCCCCAGTTCGTCAGATATCACTAACAATGTGCAGTCTTTGTAATCCGGTGAAGATATCTCCCAGAGTGAGGAAGACACTTATGCGAGCTAATAAACAACTCCAGTTCAACCGCCTGTAATCGAATCCAAGCTATCACTGAGTCTCTTGACCCAACTTTCGATCCACAATTCGAGGAAACGCGTTCCCCAACCTATTTGCGTTTGAGAATTTTTGAGGTTGGATTATAAAATCTTTATGACATACAGTCGAATCCCCTTGAAGAGATCAATCTACGGTGAACACTCAGGAAACCCGAAATGATTGGTTTCTGTTCGCACCCGGCGTTTGGATTCTGCACGTTTTGAACTTCCTTCCAAGTTGAAAATACGTACATGTAGGTATGATACTTGAGTTGTAAGATCCGTAGTTGTTTTCTTGTAGCAGGCACTCAACAAAAATAACGTGATGACCCAGATCCAAATACAAGTCAATAACCGCTCAGCTGTAACGCCCTCTCTTTTCCCAGTGGCCATACCACCAAGAGGAAGTGTGACTTCCTGCATTGCCCAAGCATAGATAGGAGCAGTTGAGGTGCCGTGGTTGGACTAGAACAATGAACCTTTCGGTCACTAAGTTCGGGTTTTAACCACTGAGTTTTGTTTACTTACATATACAACGAAAATCAGTGTGGTGTATCACGTTCTGGTTAAGAGTACGCTACGAAAAATCAATCGACCGACCGGACTGACAAACAAACGAAGATTTGAACGCGGCGTATCATGTGGTCTTTCCCTGCTTGGCAGGACCCTGTTATGCGGATCACACAAACCGATACTGCGTTCTGGGTGACTGGTGAAAAACAGTTTCACTGTGTGAAACTGGTATCGCCTGAGCGCGGACAGCTGTTCCAAGCTGGGGATGTCCTTTCACAAATCAGTGACTATCACTATTTTTATATTATACTACCACTACTATATTATCACTTATTTTTGAAGAGCATGGTCACAGACATAAAAAGTGAATGCAAGCGATGAATGCGAAAGAGTAACAGGAGAATATGGGAGAAAAGAGAGAAACGTCTCATTCGAAATCATGCTAAGGACAGTGCCAGTCTGATGAGGTGAATCCCAAAGTATGTAAAGATTTTGGTATGGGAACACGCGTCTAAAGACCAACAACCAAAGAAAGGACAAACAATGGTGAATGCTCTTCAAGGCGCAGTGTGCGCTAGCACAGTCAAGACTCGCACATCAGGCACAAAGTGTCCGTCATACTGGGTCTGGTGTGAGAGTAAATGGCAAAAATGTACATTCAACGCCATGTGCAACGCATAAAAGTGTCATAGGTACGCAGAGAGCCCACCATGGCAAGCAAACACAAGTCACTGACTGCGGACTTAGGAAGTCCCAGTCCAATAACAGCCTTAGCGGATTCAGGAAAGCAGATCCCTCGATAAGAGATGATCATCGGTTGGTGAACCAAAAAGTCGATGTCACGACCGATGGCATGTAGGGCTGAGATTATGGCGAGGGAATATTCATCAGCACCATACTTCTGCTTCTTCTCATTCCACACTGTCTCTTCACGTCCACCCGAGACTATGCTGACGTCTATTACAGTAGTACGGCGATCTCGAACAGCGATTAGGTCAGGTTTAATGAACGACGTAGAAGTAGGTGCTCTCCACTCCTCGAACGCGGTATATCCCAGTCGACGGAGACGTTTTGCAAGTTCCCTTGCAACCCGATTATGACGAGCACATCTAGCATCATGCGTGTTCCAGCAGGATTGCAAAATATGCACCAAACTCTCCGGTTGGCCACACTTTCCACGACATATGATCGTCTGGCCACCATGACCATGTCGAGCGCTTCTAACTCTCGTCCTACTCAGGTTGCATCGGAGCTGAATACTACTTCTAATATATACTACTATATTATACCATTATATAAGATATAGACATATATATATATATCACTTAAACGTATGACTACTGGTGATTGATTACTGATTAATACTTATTATCGGTATGCCTTACTTGTCGGCAATTTTGGTATTTAAAAGAGAGCATGCGTTTACTGACGCATTTGGCATACTTTCGAGCTTTCTTCCCCTCCGAAAAAAGTTGAAAAACGCCGGTTTTTCATTGGTTTTGAATCTCAATCCAAGCGGATCGGTTAAAGAAGCACTGGAATTCAAGGAATCCAGCGAGATGGACCTCAGATGACGCAAACACCACATCGTTTGCGTGTTGATTAAAACATACATCCAAATCCAGGGACTGCATTTTCTCAACAACTATGTTCGACTTTCGGGGGCTCCACAGTTTAGCCTGTTCACGATATTTCAAGTTGAGTTATCAGGACCTTTGCTCGAGAAAAAACAGTCTTGTACATGTTTTGTTTCTTAGACCACAGTCCACTAGGAGTCCGAACAGGTAGTAATAACACTTAACTGGTCTGAAGTAGTCCAAAATCTTGGCAACCTGAGAACTACCTGACAAGAATTTGGGCAGGCTACTAGGTTTGGGATCAGTAGGCAGGTCTACAACTTCTCCATTCTCTGACCTTAGATTCTAAAAACAAGCATCATTATCATCATCATCACCATCATCATCATCATCATCATCATCATCATCATCGGCAGCATTTCAGTCAGTGTTCAACACTGACCCTTCGCTGCCATCAAACCAAGATTTATTCGATAGCCTGACTGTGAGTTAAAGAATAAAAGAGGACGCTAAAGGGACTGACAGATAACCTACCCCAAGCGTTACGGGCAGTCCGGTTAGAAACTGACAACAAGAACGTCATAGACATTAATTAGCAGTCATGTATTGCAGCGTCTCCGACCAAGCGCAGTGGGGATCACTCAGTCCTCATCCTAGTAGGTGAGTAGTACGACAACACCCACAAGTTCGTAATCTCCTTCATACCCCTCTACCAGGCCGAGGGTTGGCCACTTTTCTGCTTGCGCAACTCTGAATTGGGCATGGAAAACAGTTCTCTCTTCGGCAAACGATGGTTCGCCATACGCGGTACATGTCCTAACCAACGCGGTATATTCTTCAATGGAAGCTCCCGTTGCACAACCGAAAAATCGTTTTCTGATTGTCTCGTTGTGGATTCTGTTATATCTGACTGCTGTTCCCACTCCAGTGCCTAGTGCCGGAAAAAAGACTCAAAAATGAGGAACACCACAGCTTTATTCCGAACAAATGAGTGCGACAGCCCGAGTCCGAAGTTACAACGGCCTGAAGCTATTTTATTGGAGGGACACTGCCTAACCTTGGTCCAACGCTATCTTGCGCTGTCTGGCTTTGATACAAGGCTGTGACGCGCTACATATATAGGAGGCGTTGCCTGTCTGGTCAGCATCTAGTGAATTTCGGACATTCAGTGGTTAGTTTCATGAGTATGAGCTTCCTGATAGATTCTCTTTCACCCACCCACATGAGCTATGTTTCTGAGGCACTGGTGTCGAAGATCTGAAGATGTTTCACTTCCGCTGCTTGAAGAGCACAAAGTTCACGGCCATACAACAAAACAACCTGTATTACAGCCTGCTTGCACGTCCCTTGAGATTCAGAGATGTGCCAATTCGACGCCATAGAGGCGCCAAATTAGAGATCACGACCTGAGTCATGTATAATCGCACACTGACCTAATCTGTCACATGACACTCGAAGATACGACTTCGAAGCTACGTGAAACGTTCCACAACTTCGAGTACTTCTCCTTGGATTGTAGGTTGCCAATTCAGTGGCTAACCACGAGCATTACCTTACACTATGTGGGTGCAAACTGCACACCAAGGACTTCGGTCAGTCCATACAAAAGTACGTGGGGCTTCTCCCCTTCGCAGACGAGAACGGTCTCATCTGAAAATTGCGAACAAAAGCAGACAAGTAAAATTCTATAAGTGATCTGCTATTGAAGCTTTCCTCGGTCTACTCTACTGCCCAATGTTGAGTCCGGCATCAAAAGGACTTAAAACGACGAATTGTCCAGATTAGTTATATTGTAACGCAGAGTGCCGACGGCCATCCAGTGGCGCACTATTAAACAGAACTGAGCTATAGTAAATGCCTTAAACTCTCTTGTGAAATGATATCTTGGGCAAAATCTTGGGCTAAAATAATATATTTCGAATAAATCGCAGAGTTACCGAGGTAGAATGGAATGCTATCTGACTAGTCGCTGCTTCAAATGCCGTAATTATAGCCTCCTCAGGTGTGATGCCCAAAGTTATGTTCCCGATCCATTCATCGACGGAAGGAATATCGATCTGAATGTCAAACAGATATGCCGTTTATCGGTACGCTTCAAACAAGTAAATCCTTCGTGGACTTCCAAGTACTATGAAAGGCGGTTTCAAGACCTGTCACAAGGACTATCTGAAGTCATAAATAATGGAATATGGGATGGACTAGAATCTCGTCTTGTATCGCATGGCAACCTAATGGAACTGGTTGAAAATCACGTGACCTAGTGGAAACTGTGTTCTAACCACTGGTTATTTTAGATAAACGCCGTTCTCACATTTCAGGTTCCTTCTTGGGGGAAACTTGTGGATAAATTGCTTTTTCGTTGCCTTGAACTACCAGTGTTTGAAGTAACTTGAGCATGACGGTTGAAAAGCTTATGGTGAATACTTTCTTTGTCATTAAATGCATACGGTATTCCGCTGTTTTGACTTCTTTTTCTCAATTTGAGGAAGCGTTTGGAACGGAGTCCGAAATTTTGGACACCATTACCATTCCAATTTCTCTCGGTGGATCTTAAAATCGATGCATGTATGCCCCAGCGCAAATGAACAATTGGAAGCAGGCGTTCTTCTCCGCGAACTTCACAAAAGACGACAATTTGGAGTGGCTGCCCTAATTCTTACCCTGCCGCTGTACGGTTTGGAAAATGTTCGCTCAAACAGCTGAGACAATTAAAGGATGTTGTTCACTGATATTTGGAATGGTTCGCAAAAACTCTGAACTTTAATTGGCTTTGATTTTATCCGAAAACAATGCACGATATTAACAACGTACTATGTAAAATTACCTTCCATGTGTGTAATGGCGTCGCAAGACTGATGATACCAATCAAAGCCTTGGGTGGGATGGTTCAGTGGTTAGAGATAGAAGCTAGTGACCGGAAGGTCCCAGATTCGAACCCGATTTCCCATGTCTAGGCTTAGACAAATTAGCAGTATCCCAACCCTCGTGCTTCCTTCTGGTGGCATAACAGCTGGGCACAGAAAGAGTGGTACAGTTAAACGATATTATTCTTGTTGCCATTCGGAAGTCATTCCGTACAAAGCTGGACCTTCGCCTAACGGTACCTATTACTAAGACTCTATTTCTTGAGGGTTAACTCAGAGACCCTAATTTCCAGTATGAACTAACACACTGATTTAGGGAATAAATCTCTGATTCTGAATCAGCACTCGGCTTTACCAGTTTATCGCGAATAGTGTACCTCATAGTAGCGAAATGCTATAAGAGAAAATCCGGAGAGAAGACATCGTCTAGTGAGTAAATAAACAGTGCAAAGACCTTCATTAATTACGATTGGACTAGGACTCTTCAGGATAATTTCAAATACGAATTCCACCCATCCAAGCAGGAGGATAAACCTCGTTTCACAGAATATATGAAAGATACAGTCAAGACGTGGACCATTCTTGAAGTCAGACTCCAGTGAAGCCTGCAGTCGAGATGCATGGGTTGGATTCGAACCATGGACCCTCGGGTTAGTGAGTTTGCGTGTTCAATACTGATCTATCTCCAGCTATAATTTCCCAGTGTTGGTGAGTTTGTTTTTGCGCTTTATGTTGTGTGTACCGCTTCATCAAATCGTGGATCCCAGTCGGTTTATTGGAATCGGGTATCTGTCTCTCTTCCAGGATCGATAGTTTAGTCTTTCTGTACGAATCCTGGGACATCATGGAAACTATAGTGACGTTTATCTAAAGTCCTGAAAATAAAAGGCTGGACTATTAGAACGATCCGATTTGAAAAATTGTCCTTAAACCTCAAATTATTTCATTCAGATCGAGTCCATTGTCACTTGAAGATAACAGTGACTCATCCGCTGACATTTGCTCACTGTTCCATATTTTTGCTACGGACTCATCAGAGCATACTTCACATACTAATATCTAAACCAAGGCACCCCTGAGACCTTGAACTCCTTGCTAAAACGCTTCTGGAAATTACACCCTTGTTACTCGAGTTGAATCAGATTGAATTCGTGGGAAAGCCGTGTATAATTTCGGGTGGTTTTCGTATTTTCATGTGTCCTGCCTCTTTGTACGCTGGAATATGACCTTGTTCAAACTCGGACAGCCTTGATGTGTGCCTGTCCAACAGGCGGTCTATACTCATGCTTCTAGTGTCAAGACTGGGTGATGACCGCTCACAGATCACGTGTGGCCCTTCGCTAATCGATAACACATTATTTGATTGCAACAGCTACGTGTCAGAGTGATCGATAATAATCGTCATCCTTATAACCAAGTGATTATGCAGATCATCTGTCCAAAGAGTTATGGTGACATTTCGAGACTCCAAAGCATACTACTCACAAAAAGATGATTGAATCTAGTCTAATTTGAAAGCCGAGTCGTGTTCTGTATAGTGGTAGTCAACATAGGAAATTTCATTGTTCCAAGTGTTAGATAACCCGGTGATCCAAGCAAAGTAGGATGTTTCCAATGTCATGTCGTTCGCACATGTTGTTGTTTCATAATTAGAAAGGATCCAGAACGGTTTCATTCTTTGTAACCAGAATAATAAGGAGTTTCTGTGGAATCCATCCGTTTTCGAAAGGCGAAAAACACTTGAGGAACTCAAAAATAGAAGAGGTGGCAATTTTTCAACACATCTGTTTTCTATAATGTTTTTCAACTTTTGACCGTAGCCCGCATCGTGCGAATTCGCTTGCTGAAACACTGCCTGCTTATTGATCGTCACTGTTTGGACGTCCCCATTGGCTCATTTTCCCAAACATACCTTGAGATAAAAAATCACAAAATTACAGAATTTCATTGTGCTGTGGTTTTTCATCCAATGGTTTGATTTGTTTGATGAAGCACTGAGGAACGCGTTGTGACAGAAGACCATTCACTTTCTGCGTTCGCTGACGATTGTTTGAAAGGAGGACGGTATGGTATTTCTGATTAAGAATTCCCTGGGGAAATTTAATCCAGAGTTCTCAATTTATTGGGATTGTTGGTGGAGAGGTTAGCTGGATGCCACTTGGAGGGGACTGAGCGTGAGCGAAACACTCGATTCTACTCAATCATTCGTTTTTTGGAGGCCTTGTGACGCTTTTTTTGAAAGAAGAAACATCTACGATATGTGCGGATGGGTTAGTAAGCATACAAGAGAGGATAGAATGGGATAAATTTAGATGTTTGAAAAAAAAGAACGATTTTAAGGGAGAGGAGATTTGAAAATACAAAACCCACACATGGGTAGTATGAAAGGAGCGAAACACGAGGAAATGAACTTTACGTTTGATCTATTGCTTATTGGCTCACATTGGATTGATCGGTGATCGATTAGACCCAGGCTTACAAGGCTCAAGAATGACAGAAAACAGGCGCCCCCAGTAGCGCACCCTCGATCAGCAAATACTGGTTCACAAAGTTTACTTTCAAGTGTGTTTCATCGTTCATACTGTGTAGTCGGATTTCGCTTTTCGAAGATTTACCTGAATCCTCATCTAATTTGCACCAGAGACAGATATTTTTTGAATTGAAGGAAGTTCGGTTGTGGTCATCCACGTATACGGTGACACTGTTTGAGGTCTTCGGAGCGTTGCCCAAGCCTCGTGGGAACACCGGATCAGCAATCCTGAAATTCGTCAAATGGTATTCGGAAGAATTAATCACCCTCGATAGATAAACTGATCACACTGCATAGGTTGCACTGGCTTGGTCATTTGCTCCGTATGCCAGTCGACCGACTTCCTCGAAGGGTTCTTTTCGCACAGTGAATGGCGAAAACGAGCCAGAGGCGGTCAAACAATGACTTGGTAGCCAAGTATAAAAACCATTATCAACAAACTCAGCTGCGCTGGCCACTGCCGTCCCCCTAGCTGGGGACCTCGAGACGGGCCACATCAATGAAGACATTGTCAGATATGGCCCAGTCGTGCCCTCAATGGTGCTCGTGCATCCAAGCTATTGTCTTCAATACATATCTCCCTTCTCAATTCACCCACTTAACGGTCCACTGACAGTGTTTTATTTACGCACCAACTGCGCGCCCTCCAATACGCAGCTACCTACCTCACCACCCGAAATACTCGGTGAACGAAACCGTGGCAGCCATAAACACTACACGACAGGTACGTAGTTCATACAGCTGACAATGATTGATAATGGCGATGGTAATGATGATGATGATGAAGATGATGATGATGATGATGATGATAATGATGATGGGTCATCGGTCGGAGAAGGTAAGTGCGCGCATAAACAAGGCTTAAGGCCAGAGTCACCCGCGAAATTCAACGAATAATCGTACTTTCTATGGAGTCCTCGCAAGGGATCCCCCAGTCAGCTGATTTGTTTGCTTCGGATGGTAATTGCACTACCCGACTGCAACATATAAATTCACCTTTTCTTGGAAAATTTTCTTGAAGTCAAAATCACATCTGCTTAAAGACCTCTTGTTGCGGAGCAAACAGTGGCTACATCGAAATATGCAGCCAGTAACCCCATTGATCAATTCACACTGGTTGCGTCGCCTGCTGTCAAGTTTGTGACACGGTTCACAACCACATGCGCGACTACCTCCAAATTTCATGTTGCGTTTGGTGGCACTGAAACAAGAGCAGTTGCTGCATTCTTTCAGCACGGAATGATTAATCGCCCAGTCTTTGACGTAGGCCCTTTGTCACACACGGAGTGACTCAGTAACCAAACGGCGTCAAGGGGCAGGAAGTCAAAACTGCTGTCTGTGATTCCAATTTTTTCAACTTGTCACTCCCTACATCCTGTTTTTTTACGAGAAATTCCCCAACCTCAGCCACACCATACACAGTGCTCTCAGTTCACTCCATTGAGGAGTAATTCATTTTTTTCCAGAAACAAAGCGAGGAAGAAAAACAGGATAATTCTCTTCGCATCGGTGGGTAGCCATTGAGAAGCGTGTGCACTTTTCTCTCAAGTAAGCGAAGCGTTAACTGAATCAGTAATCGATATTCCAGCTCATTCGATTCTCTCTCTAGTCAACTGACATACATTCGGCATGATACAGTTTGATTGGATTTGCAAACTTAGGCTCGATGGAGCTCTTTCCATCCGTGGTAGATAATTTATCGGAATACAGGTGAAAGAAGTACTCCGGCGTCTGGGTAAGATAGGATTTGAGGAAATTTTCATTCCCATGCTCCTTTCCAGCATGATGCGATCCAAACGGCTAACCACACAATTTACAGTATCCATTTACCCTTACAAGTTTGAATGACACAAGGAGAACAAAGAGACCGGTAGAAACACCGGTTTTGTACTGCCCCGTCAGTCCTCCACGTAACCAATGGGAACAGGTCTAAAGCAGTAGTAACCACGTGATTACAAATCGGATGGAAGACATAAATTGTTGTATCGCTCGTTGATTTGAACACAGTTAACGCTTCGGTCGATCTGCCGAAACGGCTCCGGTGTACTTAGAGCACCTATGTTTCTGCGGAAATGAGGACGAGCGTTTTGGCGGGAAGAAGCATGAGAGGCAAGGCCGGTCCTGCTCATGTGAACACAGTCACGGTTTAAGCGGTCCCCAGAGCTTACTGATGCTATTTATACTTTCATCGCTTGTCTCCCTCTATCGGCTAGTTTATCTATGAGCTGCGATACACACTGAGTCTGAAAACGAGCCAGGCCTGTATGTGCACTCTTTCACCAGGTGTTTTTGTCTCCATGATCTAGAAAATACTATCTTTGAAGGTCACGGGAAGTCTTCTCCCATATCTCACATTTGCGTAGCCTAAATAACACATCAAAACCTGTTCATTTTCAGTGGTTTTCTCAGCTGAGGAACAGCTGTGGGACCCAGCCATATTGATCACTTCTTGAGCGAGAGAGATCTGTTGATGGGAGGACGGCCAAATCCCTAGCTTCGATCGGCAACCGAGTGGCTTTCAAACCGTGTTCATTTGAAGAAACAGCTTATCTGTTCCCGTTTTTATTACACCCCCTCTACTTGACTCCGTTTGATGTATAACGTTCACAACAAAATCGGATCATATCAGGGACGAAATCGATAAATCTCACCAATGAAGCAGACCGTTTGGTTTTTACTTCAGTTTCGCTTGTTTAGCCTCACTGTGCTATTCGACCGGTCGTCCTCAAACTTACCGTCAAACACAGTTTCTACGCTCCCCCAAAACATGCTGCCTATAACACTTCACGGAATACGCACGAACCAATGATCGACAAACCAAAAGACAAATCCATTGCACAGAAGGGCATCTAAAGCGCCAGCCAAAAACCGATACCTTAGGAGTCTGAATAAAATGACTTTTATTCTTCTCCATTTCCTCCTACGTTTGACGAGTGACTAGAGCGCGAATTTACTGACCGGAAGTTCTGTGGTTCGAACCCGACCTCTGCCTCTCAACTGCCCCTGAGTAGGCCTGGGCAACCTGGTAGTATCCCAGCTGTCGCGCCTCCTGTGGCATGGTAGCTAGACGTCACTATTACATTATTACGCTTGACGCATTTGGGAGTCACAAAGCCCTCTATCAGGAAAAAAAGAGAGATTCATTTGAGTCTCTCGTGAAACCCAAATTGATTTGCATTTGAGTTTTTACGCTCCTTGCAGTCCACTGTAATCAACAACAGAAGGCTCGCCATTCGTCTCATGGTCAGCTGTGTGAATGAAATCAACAGTGAAAGCTTTCGAACCGGGTGAAATTAGCTCGAGGTGCGAAATTCACGCCCGGATGATCAGAATGATGGATGCTCAAAGAAGGTCTAAACCGGTCCTGAGCTGCCGAACAGTCATCAGCAACCTTGTGAAAATATACTGCAATATGTCGAATATCGTCCCAACTGAAACATGAGGTGGTCTCTGTAGAGCACACATAGCTGAAGAAAAATAGCACAAACGAGAGATTCAACCGGGTCTCTCGTTAACAAAACCGAAATGGTAAATGAGTGTAGTTGGTCAGTTGGGCGGAGGGTTGCGCCTGCCTGATGAGCCCCAAGAAGGATGAAACCGGAAGTAGGTATTCGAAGGGCTTTTAAAAGTGTTATGAGTGATGGTTTGAATTTATGTTGAATAAAAAAATGCGACTTGCTAATCAGCGTAACTCATGCCAAAACATGATCCAATTCGCCATACGGTGAGTGCATTTTGCGGTGAGCGGAAAACCCCGATCAGTCAGCCTTGAGTTCGCGATCCGTCACACGATATATGAAACGAGTCAATGAATTTTACATAAGTTAAGGCACTAATCGATTATGTAAAAGGCACGACTGTCAGACTGGTTGGACAGCATTAGGAGCATGCATCAGAGGTAATCAGTAGAGTTAAATTTGAATTATGAAAAGAACTCGGCTGCCATGCCAAACGATGTTTACATTTCTTCCTGTGAGTGAGGTCAATCCATGCTGAAAAAAAACGAGAAGCGAGGTACACTTGTTTTATCTTTATTGTGAATCATCAGCGGTGTGCCTCTAACGAGACTCTAGGGGTGTCTGAATACTTGAAGCATCGGCTATGAGTGGCTGATCAGCAGCGTGACTCACTCACACTCGGGCAGAATGCAGCGTCATTTTTTCTTCAGTCACGTAACCCATATCATGTGATCACATGTCTAATGGTTCCTCGAGTACTGACTGACTTTTCAGTGGTCAGTTCCTAAAACCCGAAAATTATTCTCCCCTCTGAATTGCCATGACTTGCCTTGTAGTGTCTTCGACTACAGGAAGGAAAACCGATGGAAATTCCAAAACCTCACATTGACTCGATTTCTCAAGGTCGTGAAGGATCAAAACTTTTGAAGGGAGGTTGTCTTTTGTTAAAAATGCTGTTTTAAGGACGGTCCAACTATTTGAAGGATCACAGAATTTGTGTTTTCCAAAAAACCTTTTTTCTGGGATCTGGTCAGTGCTACCCATTGTACACCTGACTGATATGATACAGACGTACTCTCCGGGTTTCGACGTGGCACACAGGTGCGGCACGCCTTACGAGGAAGGGGTTATGCCCATTGACAGATGGAGAGTGCTCCGCACATACTCTTTGGAAGTCTCCCCAAATAAAAGCAAGCTTTCTGTGTTTGTGAGTTCAATTTTGAGTCAATCGTTCTACTACTCGTTAGCCACTTCTGAGGTAGCGAGATCTGAGAACCACGCCGACCTCTGCGATCCCACTCTACGTTCAGTAGACATGTCTGCCGCGTAGGGAATGTTTCAAAGTAAACAGAGACATTGAAGTTGGATGAATTAGGCACGAATTTGTTATAAAATACTACAATTTCTTTTCACAATGAGCACACTTATCAGCTGAAGGCAAAGCTGTGTGGGACTGGTCTAGCTAGGAAAGGTTTTTAATTGAACAGCAATGTTGAGTGGCTACGTCATAGATTGTTTTTCGAAACACTCTCGTGTCATTGGTGAGAGATGGTGAGAAATAAGCTCGAGGTGGCTCTGTGATTGAGGTGCGAACTTACTAACCAGGACGCCTGTGGTTTGCACACACCGCCATCATATCGACTGCCTCTGCTCCCGTGCTTGTTACTTGCTTGTGTGGCAGCTGGGCACTACGAGGGTCCTACAGCTAAACGAAGACCTGCAGATGTGGTTCAAGCTTCCGGGCCATCAAATTCTGAAGAAACCTATCCCGTAGTGCACTACTCGACACACCGAAGCAGCTACTACACTTACTAACCAGGACGCCCGTGGTTTGCACCCACCGCCATCACATCGACTGCTTCTGCTCCCGTGCTTGTTACAGATAGTGCGGCAGCTGGGCACTTCGGGGGTCCTACAGCTGAATGAAGACCTGCAGATGTGCTTCAAGCTTCCGGGCCATCAAATTCTGAAGAAAACTCTCCCACAGTGCACTACTCATAAGGTTGCTGAAAAATTCTTCGACAGCCCACGACCGGTTTTGCACTTCTTGGAGCGCACGAAGTAGGCGCAGTCCCCGGGTTTCCGTCAACTTTATGTTCTATTTGAAACCAAATTGCATGAAATTAGCGAAATAAATCCGTTTGCATGACTAACCTGGAACCCAGCTGAATTTCTCTTTTGTGATGTGTATCCTGTGTTCAGATATCTGGATAGGTCGCTGAATAGCATTTATAGAAGTTGGTTTCCTTGACGACTATCTCCTTGTGTCTGTTTCATGTCAATAGTGCCCCAGAATCAAACGTTTTCCGTCTGGAAGAACTTGGTTCGGATTCTCCACTTTTCGACAGGTCGAGAGTAGGCGAGTTAGTAGTTCGTCAATACAACGCTATGGACGAGTTCAGTTTGGCTGTCTGTCTAGTTTCAACTAGGTTAACCCTCGAATAAGGAGCCTCATGGTCATCGTCAACCAGTTTTGAGCTGTTCGATAGGCAGTCCGTCATTCTTTGGTATTTACGCAGTTCTAGCCCTTCTAATTTGGGACAAGCACCTCACTAGATTACTGCCAATCAGTTGAGTAGTATGGAGCAGTTCTTCCGTATATCTGGAATATATTCCGACTTGGTGGATTAGAGGATGATGAGTTGAAAGTGACTAAATCTAATCACCTTCATCTTTCATTCCTCAGCTCTGAAACCGTTCCCTCAGACTGTTTTTGTGAACTGAAATTCATTCGGAGTGAACGTCTTTGAGGGGTTTTTCGTCAACCAGCGATGAAATTGTGGCGTCATTTTGTACCAAGTTACTCATCCGATGATTACTCAGACTGAATCACTTCCAATGGTTACCGACTGTTCAACTTCACCCAGCTCAGAACTCAAGGGGTAAAAGGGATACCTGAGAATTTATTACATTTACAAATAGTTCAGTCGCCGGAAATACCAGTTCGCCGTGTTTCTACTGCTCTAAACCAATGCTGGATATTCTAAATTGACAGGTGCCCCGTTGCATCAGGTTTCCTGCATCTCTTTGGTAAAAAGGAACTCCTTTTCTTATCTCTGGATCTTAAGGGATGTGTGTATTAGGCTACAGTGTGGGGTGTTTCCTTGTATGGCTGTGAGACTTGGCCTGTTCGAGAAACGGAACTGAGACGTCTTCACGTGTTCCACTATCATTGTCCCGGGACTATAGCTCATGTGGGTTGGTGTTGGCAAATCCATGACGAGGCAACTAGAAAGCGAGTTTTTGGCTGTGTACCCAGCACCAGAAGCTGTGTTGGTTGGCACACGTATTGCGTATGTCGAGTTATCGTTTGCCGAAGAGAGTGCTGTTTTCTGTGCCCAATTCAGGGTTGTGGAAGCAGAGAGGTGGCCAACTCTCGACCTGGTAAAGGGGTATGAATAGGATTACGAAACGTATGGGTTCTGTCGTGCTACTCACCTACTAGGATAGGGGTTGCGTGATTCCCACTGCACGTGGTCGGATCGTTCAGCTGTAGCACCCTTCCGGTGTCTAACTGCCATGCCACCCGAAGGCTGCACGAGGGCTGGGATACTGCCAGGTTGCCCAAGCCTAGACAGGGGGAGTCGAGAGGCGGAGGTCGGGTTCGAACCACAGACCTTCCGGTCAGTAAATTCGCGCTCAAACCACTTGGGCTATCTCGCCCCTACGTGGTTAGAGAGCTACCACATAAGGCTGCTCCTCGACGCTAATGACTTTCCTGTTGTCAGTTTCTATCCAGATTGCCTGAGTGAGTGTCTGGAGGTGTAGGTACCTCGGAATGATTGTAGTAAGCTAGCACTAACTCCCTTCCCTGTCCGTCTTTTGCTCACAAGGCTTTGAACTAAATCAAAGTTGTACGGTTGTACGAGGCATCGATGTTGAAAATTGATTTTAAGCTGTCGATTATGATATTGATAATGGCGATTTCAATTTTCTAGCGTTAGGTGATTACTTAGGGCGAGCCCACAGATCGACAGTGGTATTTCAAGAACGGAACATGGTTCTAAAATTAGAAATGAGAATTAGACACTTTTTGGCAGGCGAGTGTATAACTCGTCTTCTTCCTCTTAAATAAAAATGGCAAAATTTGAATGGTAAAACCGTTGGTCCGCTTGGTCCTGTACGGTTTGCTTCGCTGAGTATTGTTCCAAGTACATTACGTGAAATTTTGAGGCCAGCATCACATTCCAGTTGACTGCTAAACAGATGATTTGGACATCTGCTCCCCGTTCTCTCGTGGTTCCCTCATTCAAAGCTTAAATGCCGACGCCGTGGTATCTGTGTGTCTTGGCAACAGGTGCTTTCTGCCGTTCATGTCTGACTAACTTCAGTTCCTCTAGAGTTATGATGGTTCAGCTTCCCGGTCAGGTTATCGACTTTTACCCCACATTGTACCAATTACATCTGCGTTCTAAAGCGGATTTTAAGATCCGGTCCTTAGTAAATGTGTAGACTATGAACCTGGGTTGGTTTGAAGCGCTTCCACTAGTTGGCTTGATTGCAGGGCAGTTGGGGAAGGAGAGACTGACCCAAAGATCTGACCTACGCGGCTGTATAGAGGTGACCAGCTCGGTTCCAGGAAAACAGGATTTGTCTTGCTGACACTTCTACGCCTAGCGGATGTTCTGAGCACCAGCGGATTCTTGGCTTCCAGGAATATTTCGACTTTATGCGGATCAAGGGCAAGACGATCAGAAAGTGTGCGAGCTAGTCCTTCTCCACTGGTCCTTTCTCGTTTGGCAAACAGGCCCTTACAACCACGAAGATGCTGGTCTCCTTACCAGCATCGCATTTCTTCGGCATAAGGCATTTTCACTTGTTCATCCTGATTGCCTCTTGATGTGATCACTCATATCATTTGAGCTCGGTACTTCTGTCCAACTGCTCTGGGCTTCCTGAGCAAGTTAAACCTTAAGCAAATGGGTTTCTGGAGGGGCATCACAGTCCACCCACCAGAAAAAAATTAGCGCCCCAGGTCGAGTTTTCGTGCGTAAAATGGAGAGGTTTAAAATCATTATGACCTACGGTTCCGTCTGTCTGTTTCTGATATTATCCTTTAGTTTCCAAATTGTCAATGTTTCTCAAACTCTCTTCTGTTGTTGCAACTCGACGTTCGATCTGGATTACTTTGCTAATGGGTGATTAGAAATGAACCTGAACTGCGTTTGTTCTGTGAACCGCATTTAAACAAATGCTCAGTGTCAAAAAGTTGACGGATCTCGTCGCGTCGACCTGGGGAGCATCTAACAGACAGATTCAATCAATGCTCAGACCCGAAAGTTCTCATCAAATCACAGTCATCCTTGTCCCAAGTTTTGCTCCAGCACCCTCTAAAAACATTTATTTATTTATTGAATTACGGCCAAGTTATTTTTTGATAATTCGAATTTTGGTTTCTCGCGCCACTTTCCACCACCTTATACAACTTTCCGAAAAACCGAGTTTTTCTCCTTTTGGCTAGTTGCACATTGTGTGTTCTAAAGTATTTATCATTCCTCAAGGTCATTATAACCATATAAGCTCTTCTCTGATGGCTCTATCTTCCTCCACTTTCTGCGCTTGGAGTGGTTGGAATGGCATCGTATCAGGGAATTTTTGTGCTCGCTCTCACTAGCCTATAGCAATTGATCGCACCCATTCACACAGTAACAGCGGCAGACAGAGGACTTCACTTGATGACTTTGAAGAAAATCGTTCAGCTGTTACACCCTTCCGGTGCCTGGCTGCCATGCTACTTGAAAGAAGCACAATGGCTGATATATTATCAGTGGGAGGAAGAAGGCCTTCGCTGCGGAGTTGTTCATTAGAGAACCACCAATTGAACAGTTACAGACTAATGGACAGGGCAGCGAAACTCTCATATGCATCTTGTTTATAAAAACTGAATATCCATCTTCTCCTTGAAAGCGTCTTCCTGAACTTTCCTGGATATCCATTGACTGTTACTCAACTGCAAGCAAATGCCATCAGTAGTATTCCACTTTTCAAAAGAAGCGAAGCGGACTTACGAGAAATCATACTACTCGCATGCCTCATCAGTAGTATCCACCATTACACCAGGTTGCCCAAGTCAAGACAGAGGAAGTCGAGAGGTAGAGGCTGGGTTCGAACCACGTACCTTTCAGTCAGATAATTCGCGCTCTAAGCACTTGAACCATCTCGTTTCTGATGACTTCTGGAAACTGCATGAGGCAACCGGATATTTCGGTATCGTAAAACGAAGTCGGAGGGCAGACCACAGTGGATGGTTAAGGAAAGAACACACATCTGAACACAGTTCGGACTTGCAAGCTATGGGGAATAAGCTAGTCCAGATAACACACGAGTGGAATGCAGATGCAAAACAAGCTCAGGTGCGGAACTTCAAGTTTTTCACTCCAAACAAGAGAGTTAAACTTTTTTAACCGGGAAACACTGTAATCATGGAGTAGTTTACGTTTATTGTCATTTAAAAAATGACACACGTAATTCAATTCATGTACACACTGGATACGTACGACTAAGACATGAGCCTATTTGGTTGAAGTGACCTTGACAAACTGACAAGCGTAAAAAGCTACCGGAGCATACACCCGCACATCAAAATCCAAACAAAAAGGGTAGTGACGAGAAGAAAATAAGTAACAACAACAGCGATAAAATACCATTGTGCATCGATTACTTTACAACAGGACAGAAGCACTGACAAGAACAAGTGTACACGCACACACACACACACACACTAACGGCTAGCAGTGAGTGGAGGATTGATCCAATTCATGGACACGGTGATGACGTTTCGGTCGATTTGTCCAAATATTGGCGTACCTCAGCTGAATGATACCAAAGCCGTTTACGCATTCACTTTGTACACCCACCACACACACACACACACACACACACACTAACGGCTAGCAGTGAGTGGAGGATTGATCCAATTCATGGACACGGTGATGACGTTTCGGTCGATTTGTCCAAATATTGGCGTACCTCAGCTGAATGATACCAAAGCCGTTTACGCATTCACTTTTGGCAAGTAAACACTCAGTGCGATAACTCTGTGAGTTTCCACGCCCACGCTGAGTGTCCCGGGGCGGTTATGGTGGGATCTGCAACGTTGGAATTCACCAGATGAATACAGAACATGTTCATTGTGTCTTCTACATACGTCGCATGACAGAGAACCAGAAAACCTACTCAGCTCAATCAGGTACCAGGGTATAGTGGTGGCCAGTCCCTGTGAATAGAGCGAAGTCGCCCGGCTGACGGCCAGTCAACACGTGCTCCATGATGTGGACTCACTGATTGAGGGATGAGTGATGCTGTATCATGTCGATGGGCGAGTTGAACAGACTGCTGTTAGCCGAACAGTTAAGAGTCTAACTACCAGCCGGGGGGTGGGAGCGGTGACAGATTGCCACAAATTTCTGAGTTTCGTGAGATGCGCACGAAACAGTTCTACAATAGTTCACGGCTTCGAAGCATAGAATTGCTTCACTTAAATGATAGGATCTCGATTGATGGTAACTGTCTTGAAAGCGAGCTTTGGGACGAGTCAAATATTGGCAGGACATGCGGAAGTCAGTATGTATTCGACTTATTACACACCATCATCCTCAATGAGGCCATAAGTTTCCTGAAGAAGACTGCAGTAACTAGACCTTGCACGTTTTGTGTGGATGAAAGACTGAGGGATAAAGTCTGTTCCTCTCGGAAACGAAAACTTGGACAATAATAATGGGATGAATGGATAATCGAAGAGCAAATAAAATTACAGAAACCGAAGTTCACTGGACAGGCCTGGGGAAGAGTCCCCCTAGATATCAAGGGTAGCTTCCAGGTCTCCGATGGTGTTCAAACTTTTGCAATGAAACTGGAAGTCTGGCGGATCTTCTGACACCGTGTCCCATGTTCCTAGCCAATCCACAATCGCACGTGAATGACTATTTTTGCGTTTGTCATGAGCAAAACTTTATGGGAGTCATTCGACGCGTAACTGCCGTTGTAACTGGAACGAAGCACAAGCACTACCTGTTTACCTGCGAATAGCTAGCAACAATCGAAATACTGGAGTTGGGTTATTAGCTGAACTTTCTCCAGCGGCCACCCCAAATTAATAAATTAATAAATGATAAATTATCTCGGGGGCGAGATGTCCCAAGTGGTAAGAGCTCGAATTTACTGTCCGGAAGGTCCGTGGTTCGAATCCGAACTCCACCTCTCTACTACCCCTATCTAAGCTTCGGCAACCTGGCAGTATTCCAGCCCTCGTGCTTCCTTCGGGTGCCATGGCAGCTAGGCACCAGGGGGTGCTACAGCTGAACGCAAATGAATAAATAAATAGATAAATAAATAAATAAACAAACAAACAAGTACCAACAAGAAGTCCATCTCAACATGAGCACAGTTCACAGGTAAGCCACGTAAAGCATTAGTCTACGATTCGAAAGCGCCTCATTAGTCAAACAAAGGATGTCGTTCTGACAGTTCGTCTCCCCAAAAGTATGACTGGGTAGTCTTGACTTCATTTCCTGGAATTCGATAGAACGTAGAGCCTTGAACCGGGTGACGTCACATCGCCATCACCACCCGTATACCTAACAGTTTCGGACAACGTTAATGTGATGACTGACTCTCACCAGATACAACATTCACAGCAGAGTGAGGTCGTGCAAAAGTCTAGACCCGAACGAGAGTCACTGGTGAAATTCAACTTAGCGATTACATGGTACTGGCTTCTGCTGGTTTTCTTTACACCGCATCATAAAGGGTTACTTCTTATGTTGGGATGTCATAAAAGAGAGTCACAACGTTGATGCACCAATTTCGGTGTTTTCAGCACAATTTATCGCTGTTCGTTCCTGTGCCTGATGGAAGGTCTCTGAAACTATCCGCACAGTTACGATAAGTTTGGCTGATCCCCACTAGTGAACCCTGTTTGGAAGGACTACAGTATGCACCTACAATACGGCTGTGACACCTTTGGTTAGGACCAGGTCAAAGGCTCCGGATTCGGTTGAAAAGGTCACCTGAGACAGGGATTTCGAGTGTGGAACGGGTGAGGGGATGTGAAGCGGGACTGAAGTGCAAGGTGGCAGACAGAGGGACTGTAAACTTCTCAAGTGAAAATCGCCAGAAGATTGGAAGCTGGGTTTGGTAAGGTGGAAATCTCACAAAGTGGCCGAGGCAGTTGCAACCAACAACATGAAATCCCCCCTCCCCGAAGACGGACAGAGGCAAATGGCCACCCAGGATGAATCTTGGTGTCTTGATTTGGCTCATTCCCAATGCCACGCTAGCTGTTCCTCAACAGTCGAATTTTTATAGAAATCGAGTAAGTTTCACCTCAGTATTGGACTGTACTTGGGTTTGCTCGCTTCATGGCGAAAGGCGTAAGAGTTAAGCAATCTGGTTCAAGCACTGGTTTACGTCGGGGTACGGTATTCATGCTGCGTATAGCTGAGGGACATAGTTCGCCGACAGCCAGCGATGAAATCAGATTCCTCTCAGAAACGGTTTAAAAAGTCGGATATCTGTCCCCTTGAGTGAAGTGTACTCAGATGGCTGGAAAAAATCAATCGTTATCGGCATTCGGAAATCAACCGAATGCGTGTTATAGACGCAAACGTGAAGTTATTCAGAACACATTCAAACAAAGGACTGTAACTGACCGGGCGGATTTCAACTCTTTCCTTCGACTGATTAAAGTTTCCGGTAAGTTGGCTAAAATGCATCGGGTTGATTTCTGTTATTGGATGTCGGTGACCGTTTCGTTCTCGAAGAATAGTCGTTGTGCTACTTTGCACCTAGGGCGTTTTTAATTAAGCCTGAAGTAAAAAAAACTGTACGGATAGAACGATGGTATTGTACCAAAAGGATAGAGTCTTACCAATACCCCTATCATTGCAATGGCGGGGCGATCTACTCAGTCAAATGTTTGAATAGATGTTGAACAGTGTTCACACGTACTTTCGCTAGCCACCCGACCTTCACATAATTAAAAAAAAACAACCTTCAGGATGTCGATCTATAATTTGCTGGTTCACGTGGGCTCCAAAACTTTGGTTTGACCACGTAAACGTATCCATCGCATGTCCGATTGTCTGCCTGCCTGAACGAGAAATGAAGTTGGTTGACATTGAGTTGTAGAATATCACAAGGAGAGATTCAGTCGAGTTCCTCGTGAAGACCAAATTGATTTGCAAATGAGTGTATCTCTAGGAAACAGAGTTCACTTTGGGTTCAAGTAGATGATAAGGTTGACGGAAGGGCGAAACCGGTCGTGGGCTGTTGAAGAGTTTTCAGCAACCTTGCGAGTAGTTTCCTTTATGAAAATATACTGCGATATCTCGAATATCGTACCAACTAAAACATGTGGCCTGTGTGCAGCACATTCAGTTGTCGTATACCCTAAAGGGTGAGTATGTTGACCGATGGTCCTCGCGTTGGACACACCAGTGCACTGATGCTCTTCACTATATCGTGAAGAGGGGCGGGCTGTAGAGTTTTAATCTCTTCTTCTCGGACTGACCTTGCCACATGGGGAGTGGATTCCGTGCTCATAATCAGAATTGTCTTCATTTGGTGGTCTGTGCCATCGTTTGAATCCTATGGGCTTGTCTACAGGACATTCACGAAGTCCAGTTTATTCTGTGGTCTAAACGTGCTCAAATCGGCTGTTTGTATTGGTGAGATGAGGCACCCAGCACTGGATGTCACTCGGTCTGACACCATCCGACCACTAACTTATTGGACACTTGTCCGTGTCCAAATTGGGGCGATTATCTAACTAAAAGATGACACCTGGTCAAAAGTACGGTTCCCCTCTGTGAGAAGTCATCTCCCAGCACAACCTACCCGAGTTATCCACAATCACGAGGAACCGTGCTCAATCATTCGCAGATTTTCGCAATGGATCCAAATGGATTTTCACAAGAACTCGCCGGCGAAAACAATAGGACAATCACACTAAAATCCAGTTTCTATCGAGCCCCCCCCCCCCGACCAACCTACAGTGCCGAGGAAAACACACGAAACTACATCAAAGATATGGCTTCACTGACTAGGAAAAATGAACTGTGGAGAAGATGATGAAGGACAGCGTGGGTCAATGTGTGTGTGACAACACAGGGGATCGCAATGCTCGTTTACAAACACGACGAATCATGGTCAGAAGGAGATGGTGAGTGGTGAAAAGAGTAGCCAAAAGCTGCAATACAGCTGAAGCAAATCGATCACTAAAATATACACAACTGTGACAGTCATCTCGGAAGGGCAAAATTATGAGTGGTGCTTGGACGGAGTCGGTGTGACAGCGCAACGAAATTAAATGAACAAAAACAAAGAAAAATGCACGAGAACGACAAGAGCACGAAAAATGTGAGCATAAAAGAGAGAGAACACGAACTTGATTAGGGAAGTGAAAAAATGGCGAGGCATATTAATTACACGCATGTGGAGAAACCGGATGTTGTTGTAGCGATGATGGTGGTGGTGCTGAGCACGTCATAATGCCTAACTGGGACAGACAAGACAATGGGACCTAATGGAGTGTAAATGGCTAGGTGTCGACAGGCCAGCGGGATGAGAAACAACACGATAAGAGGATACCTTATCGGTTTAGGGTGATCGGAATGGGAAACGAACCCTGAAAGGAACAAAAGGCAGGGAAATAACTATCCCACGAATGAGGGATGGTCAAGGAAGCCGCTTTGAATGCGTGCGGTCAGACTTAGGACGGGTCCCGGGAGGAAGGATTTGAAGATAGAGAGATTAGAGGTACCAAAATCGTCAGAATGGAGAAAAAAGAGGAGGAATATCAGCCCTCATCAGCAGAATGTGAAAAGGGTGGCGCGGAGAACGAACGTAAAAGGCTATCGCAGAGTGAATAGCTGAGAGTAAGTTTCCTGAATTCATCGAACGATGAGGGAGAGGAACGATTTATCCCTGAAGTGGTTTGTGTGGGCCAGTGGGGGTTGCACACGTGGTAAAGCAAATGAAATGGATTCCTAGTATATATATGAACAAAGGCCTATTATACACCCCAAAAAGGAGCATATGTGTGACCGGCCTGCTGCACTGGACAAGTCACCATGATACTTTCTCGCAGCGAATCGAGTGTTCAAGGGCGCCTCGGAGTTGGCTGGTTAGGTGGCAGTCTCGGAGCGGGACAATTGGTAGGTTGGGAAAAGTAGGGGAAAAAGTGCCTTGTAGGTTTCCGGTCGTTCAGTGGCATTCCTTGAAGAACTTCATCCAGGAGTTGAAGCGGTCTACAGCGAGATAGCAGAGAAAAACAGAATCGTTTAGAACAGACAAGCGATTAGTTTGAAAGGAAGGCTATCGGTTTGCATACTTAGGATGACGGGATTGCAGACGAGCCAATTAACGTGGGAGATGAATTCATTAACCTGGGCAGTTGTATAAGTTCCGGTTGACGGGGTGGAGACGAGATTACGGGGAAGGTCAGGGCAGTTTTTGCCCATCTTCAACACCCAGGGTGCCGAGGACAGAGTTTACACTGTGACATTGCGATCCATACAGCATTGTGGATTAGAAACCTGGCTCCTAAGCGCCAAGGAAATACGAAAGATGTCGGTGTTTGACCACCGGTGTCTCCAGAACGTTGGGTCTGGTGGGCGCATCGGATTAGCAATACTGAGGCACGCCAGATAGATAAATTACTCACGCTTCATAGGCTAGGCTGATTACACGCACTCCGCATGCCAATGGACCGCGCGCCTTGCAGAGCTCCTTTGGGGCGGTCCTGCGCTCAGGCGGAAGCGACTGAGAGGTAGACAGTGTATGCCCCCGCGGCGATGTATGAAAACACCAGCCAGTAAACTGAGTCAGGTCAATACCTGCCACCTCCATGGATGGAGACCCCGGGACCCAACTCACCAATGGCTGATATGGCCCGGTCGGGCAGTAAGTGGCGCTCGTGCATCACAGCGAAGGAATTCCGTACGTGGGTACTCAGTTCTCGAACTAGCTGAACATGCCATCGCCTCTAAAGCTTGACTGTATCTCCCAAGCCCCTCCACTTTCTGCGGATCGAACCCTTGGCACATGGTTAGTGGCTGATAAAACAGAACTGAATGACAGGACCGTGTCGCACTCTATCAGCTTTCAAAGCGCAATGTACTGCTATACTGGGTAATGCTAGCAACTCAGGCTGTACAGATGGCTGGTGGTCTGGACAACCATACTTCCCAGTTCAGGGAAAGTCATGACACAGACGGAGGAAACAAATTACAAAGAAAACATACATCAACCATTCCGACAGGTTGTATTGTGTGAACGAGTTAACCACTTTGCTGCAACACTCACATGATGCGAACCCATGCTGTTGAGGAACATTAACAGGCAACACTCTAAGGTTAACTTTTCAGAACACATAGCCACAATGACTGGTAACTAGCGCTAAATTTCTTTAGGGCTGTACGTCCTCGATGAGACTTTTCTGAAGAAAAGTCAAATCTACCTCCGGACAGTCCACATCCGAGTTTAGCCTCCAACCCCCAAGGCCGAAAGATGCGGCTACCTCAAGTTGGTGTCACTCTTGTGGGGACACTACCACTGATTCGAGAAATTTAGTTGAGAAGAATGAAGCCCCAAGCCAGACGAAACAGTACTCTCTGGCTAGCCATGACAAACGTAATTTCCAAACCCTTCGCTGTACCGCCAAGTCCTCAATGTACGGTTGTGAGTCAAGCCAGTGGGAAGGTACCACTGGTTCCAGGCCATTGAAATGGTTCTGTGGGTAATTACGTTTCATCAGATCGATCCACGGTGAATCACGAAAAAAGAGTAAAAACAGCACAGGCAATGGCTATTTGGTTGCTTATAGTCTTTCCGTACTAACGATAAGGGGGTCTGTTGGGGATACCTTGGTTTACCACCGCCCTCGAACAACAACGCTGTTCACAACATTGAGTTTAACAGAATCCCGAAGAAGATTCGATTGCAGGTTTGACCTTGTGGAGCTTTCGACCAGAAGTTGGTAACGGTGCTCAACCCACGAATTCCCAAGGAGATTGGAACCTTCGAATTTCCGGATGAAAGCTGAACCTTACAAATGAGCTACGCGTGGCTGATCAGCGGTGTGATAGGGTAGAGCATCATTCAGTTCACGTAACTGGGAGTTAACTGCCGCGTCCAGCGACAAACGCGAACACAAACCACGAACACTCCTCTTAGAGGCCGCAGCTTACTTGAAATAACTCGGTTCGATACACCGATGCGCAAACACATTTGCAGTTGAACAGCAACCGGCAACCTACTACTGTTGAGATAATGAATCCGAATCATCTTTGAAATTCGTGGGAGGCGAAATGCTGAAGATTCCAAACAAGTAAGGGTAATGTACTACTCATAAGGTTGCTGAAAATCCATCGACAGCCCACGACCGGTTTCGTCCTTTTTGGGGCTCATCAGGTAGGCGCAGTTCCCGGGTTTCCGTCAACCTTATGTTCTACTTGAAACCAAATTGCACGGAATTAGCGAATATACACTCACTTGCAAACTAATTTGGTCATTCGAAAGACTCACCTGAGAACATCACAAACAGGAGATTCAGCTGGGTTCCAGGTGAGTCTCTCGAATGACCAAATTAGTTTATATTAGTATATATTAGCTTGGCTTTGTACGATGAAAGCCATCGCTGAATTTTGCGCGTTTGGTAAATACATGCCGCAGGACTAAGCTAAAGTATCGTGTGGTGTGATCGGTCCGCGGGTGTGAACCACTGTGACAGCCATTGGAGTGAACCGAATGAGTCAACGCGTGAGCAGCCACGTGTGTACGCTCGTATGACGGCGAGGGGAACACAACAACGACAACAACAACAAACCCGCATTGACGGAAAGAAAGAGAGTAGGGCAAGCGACAGTGGGCAGACGGTAGAAAAACAGGCCACAGCACGGTCATGTGTCCCTCTAGACGAATGGCATTTCGGAGGGCGATGGCTAAAAGTAAACAGATTCAAGAAGCGTAACAAGATGCTCGATGGAAACAAACAAGTCTCAGACTGTTAACACACGGTGACCTAGGGGACAAAGTGACAGACAGGAGACAAACTAGCAAAAAAACAACGTTCTGACTGGAATCACGAAAGAATCGAGGTCAAGGGATGAGTTGTTGTTGCTCTTAGAAACTATGGCAACATGTGATCCAGACTTGTTAGTGACCTAGAATGCAAACCTCGAAAACTGAAGTGGACGTGTCTCACCTATGCAGCTGAATCTCTATCCAACAAGGTGTTTCCTTGATACTTCGTCGTGGATAATCCGGTCCCCAGCCTTTCACGAAGCTTAGTCGAAGCATACACAAGCGACGTAGGTCATCTACCCCGACATCAGCAGTGGCTAGAGGCGACAGACCGCCGGCACCGCTTCCGGCGCCACCACTAGACGTACCACCGCCGCCACCCATTGCATTTTGGTTCGACTGTATTGCGTTTGTCTGTGACGGACCAGGAGGTAGCTGAGACATGAGAGGTGAGATTGGAGGAGCATTGGCAGTCGGTGATGGGATAGAACCGACCACGACAGCTGCTTGGTGTTCGGCGGCCAACTGAGCGGAGTGAGCAAGCAGCTTCATCTGCTCGTGACATTGTCTGATGTCGAACACCTATGCACAGATATGGGGGAGAAAGGTTAGAAACGTGCGAACAAGGCCCGCCGAAGAAATTAGGCATCAACAAGACTACGTTTCGTTTACCTTGATGTAGGCACCGGGATAAATCTTGTGCACGGCGTCGCCTGGTCTGCGTCCAGCCTCTCGATCAAGGTAGTAGCTTTGTACGAACACCGAGAACTCGGACAGACAGCGTATCCAAACGTCCCCTTCGCCGACATTATCCAACTCGACACCCTTGCCGATATAGAGACGCGACTTTTCCGACTGCTCCGAACTGTAGGAGTGAGAAGAGATATGGGAACAAAATGAGCAACGATCATGGCTCTGATGTAAATAGTCCGCCAAAGATTGGAACAATATGAGAACCACTTTCTGGTGATATGACACGTGATATGATGTAGACCGTTGATTAGCTCTCTTCTTCGGTGTAGACTCACCAGAATGATTGCTTCAAAACCGTACAAACGAAAGTAATGTGAATTCTACATTCCAGCAGTCATCTACAACCACAAAGATTCACGCTGTTTTGCATTTAACCGACAGAGAGAAGTGGAGGGGGTAACCGTAAAGATGGTTGGTTGCTGAAAGAACGGAAAGAACATATCGTGTGTTGGAGAACTCAATAACTTCAGTGGTCGGCGTACCGCCTCCAGCTACTCGTTGTTGCAAACAGTTACAAACGACGAGGGATGACGCGGATCTTCTTGTCGATGGGCACTGGTATCAACAAACACCGAAAAATCGACGCCAGATCACATACCCCAGCGATTCTCGTCCCATGAATAGCTACCGCCAACGGAACTCGGACGAAAACTGACAAGTCTGTGTAAATGAGCTGGTTAGGCTAATACACATGTGCCACTTCATGATCATCATTACTTTAGGTGTTTATAGTGGGTTAACCAGGTATTTCAGGCCGACGCATCAGTGCAAACGTAGAAAGCTAACCAGGAAACGAGGACTGGCACCGGAAAACCTGCTCTTAATAATCTTTATGAATCCCACAGTCACTTAGGTTGATAGAGAGGATAAGACGTATTGAAGCAGACTCGGTAGGATATGAGAATTAGTAAAGTACAAGGTATGTATAGCTAAATTCGAGAGTTCTCCCCCCCCCCCCCCCCAAAAAAAAA